ATCATCATCCTCATCATCATCCTCATCGTCATCCTCATCATCATCCTCATCATCATGCTCATCATCATCCTCATCATCATCATGATCATCATCCTCGTCATCATCATCATCATCCTCATCGTCATTCTCATCTTCAGCCTCATCATCATCCTCATCATCATCCTCATCATCATCCTTATCATCATCCTCGTCAACATCCACATCATCATCCTCATCATGATGCTCATCATCACCCTAATCATCAACATCTTCAGCATCCTCATCATCGTCCTCATCATCAGACTCATCATCATCCTCATCGTCATCCTCGTCTTCATCTTCATCGTCATCCTCATCATAATCCTCATCGTCATCCTCATCATCATTTTCATCACGATCATCATCCTCATCATCATCCTCATCATCATCCTCATCATCACTCTCATCATCATCCTCGTCACTATCGCAGTCATCGTCCAGATCATCATCCTCATAACCATCATCGTCATTCTCATCATCAGCCTCATCAACATCCCCATGATCTACGTCATCTTCATCAACATCATCAGATTCATCCTCATCATCATCCTCATCATTATGTTAATCATCATCATCAACCTCATCATCATCCTCATCATCATCCTCATCCTCATCCTCATCGTCATCATCATCATCATCCTCATCATCATCCTAATCATCATCATCATCATCATCGTCATTCTCATCAGCATCCTCAACGTCATACTCATCATCATCCTCATCATCACTCTCATCATCATCCTCGTCACTATCGCAGTCATCGTCCAGATCATCATCCTCATAACCATCATCGTCATTCTCATCATCAGCCTCATCAACATCCCCATGATCTACGTCATCTTCATCAACATCATCAGATTCATCCTCATCATCATCCTCATCATTATGTTAATCGTCGAACTCATCGTCATCGTCATCCTCATCGTCATCCTCATCATCATCCTCATGATCATGCTCATCATCATCATCATTTTCATCATCATCCTCTTCATCATCCTCATCATCATCCTCATCATCATCCTCATCATCATCCTCATCATCATCCTCATCATCATCCTCATCATCATCCTCATCATCAATCATCCTCATCATCATCCTCATCATCATCATCTTCAACATTCTCATCATCACCTTTGTCATCATCCTCATCCTCATCCTCATCATCATCATCATGATCATACTCATCATAATCCACATCATGATCCTCATCATGATCTTCATCAACACTCACATCATCATCCTCATCATCATCCTCATCATCATCCTCATCATCATCATCATCATCAACCTCGTCAGATTACTCGTCGTCGTCCCCATCCTCATCCTCATCATCATCCCCATCATTATCATCGTCATCATCCTTAACATCATCCTCGTGATAACCATAATCATCATCCTCATCCTCATTCTCATCAGCGTCCTCTTCACCAGCCTGATCATATTCCTCATCGCCATCCTGATCAACATCCTCATCATCATCCTCAACAACATACTCTTCGTCATGCTCATCATCATCCTCATCGTCATTCTCATCATCATTCTCATCATCATCCTCATTATCATCCTCATCATCATCCTCAGCATCATCCTCATCATCATCGTCATCATCATTCTCATCATCATCCTCATCATCAACCTCAACATCATACTCATCCACAACCTCATCATCATCCTCATCATCATCATCCTCATCATCATCCTCATCATCATCCTCATCATCAGCCTCATCATCATCCCCATGATCATCTTCATCTTCATACTAATCATCATCCTCAACATCATCCTCATCATCATCCTCATCTTCATCATCGTGATCGTCATCGTTATCACCATCATCATTCTAATTATCATCCTAATCATCTTCGTCATCATCATCCTCATCGTCATCCTCATCATCATCCTCATCATCATCCTCGACATTATTCTCATCCTCATCATCGTCCTCATCATCATCCTCATCATCATCTTCACCATCATACTCATCATCATCCTCATCATCATACTCATCATCATCCTCCTCATCATCCTCATCATCATCCTCATCGTCATCCTCACCATCATCAACACCATCATTCTCATCTTCATCCTCATCATCATCCTCATCATCATCCTTATTATCCACCTAAGAAGCATCATCATCATCATATTCATCATCATCCTCATGATCATGTTCATCATCATAATCATCATCATCCTGATCATCGTCCTCATCATCATCCTCGTCAGCGTTTTCATCTTCATCCTATTCCTCATCTTCATCTTCATCCCCATCATTATCTTCGTCGTAATCCTCATCATCATCCTCGTCAACATCATAATCATCATCCTCATTTTGATTCTCAACAGCGTCCTCATCATCATCCACATCCTCATCGTCATCATCATCCTCATCATCATCCTCATCATCAATCATCCTCATCATCATCCTCATCATCATCATCATCACCATCATCATCCTCATCATCATCCTCATCATCATCCTCATCATCATCGCCATCATCATCCGGATCATCATCCTCATCATCATCCTCATTATCAACCTCGTAATCATCATCATCATCATTCTCATCAGCATCCTTAGCATCATCCTCATCATCATCCTCATCATCATACTCATCATCATCCTGATCTTCATCCTTATCATCATCCTCATCATAATCCTCATCAGCAGCCTCATCGTCATCATCATCATCATCCTCATCATCATCATCAATGTCATTCTCATCCTCATCCTCATCATCATCCTCATCATTATCCTCATCTTCATCCTCATCATCATTCTCATCATTATCCTCATCATAATCCTCATCATCATCCTCATCATCATCCTCATCATCATCCTCATCATCATCCTTACCATCATCCTCATCATCATCCTCATAATCATCCTCGTCATCATCATCATCATCATCCTCATCATCAGATTCATCAGCATCGTTATCATCATTCTCATCTTCATCCTCATCAGCATCTTCATCATCCTTCTCATTTTCATTCTCATCATCATCCTCACCAGCATCCTCAACATCATCCTCATCACCATAATCATCATCATCCTCATCATCATCCTCATCATTATCCTCATCGTCATCCTCGTCAACATCTTCATCATCGTCCTCATCGTTATCCTCATCATCGTCCTCACCATCATTTTTGTCATCACCCTCATCATAAAACTCATCACCATCCACATCACCATCCACCTCATCATCATCGGCATTCACATCGTCATCATCATCATCATCCTCATCATCATTCTCATCATCATCCACATCAGCAAATCCATCGTCATCCTCATCCACATCTTCTTCATCATCCACATAATTATCTTGGTCATCATCCTCATTATCATCCTCGTCGTCATCATCATCCTCATCCACATCCTCATCCACATCAGCATCCTCATCATCATCGTCATCATCATCCGCATCATCCGCCTCATCGTCATCCTCATCATCATCCTCATCATCATCCTAATCATCATCCTCATCATCATCCACATCATATCCTCGTCATCATTATCGTCATTCTCATCGTCATCGTCGTCATCATCCTCATCATCATCCTCATCATCATCCACATCATTATGCTAACAATCGTCATCGGCCACATCATCATCCTCATCATCATGCTCATCATCATCATCCTCATCATCGTCCTCGTCCTCATCATCATCCTCATCATCGTCTTCATCATCATCCTCATGCTCATCATCATCCTAATCATCTTCGTAATCATCATACTCATCATCAGCCTCATCATCATCCTCAACATAATCATCATCATCATCGTTAACCTTATCATCATCCTCATCATCATCCTCATCATCGCCATCCTAATCATCATCCTCATCCTCATCATCATCATCCTCATCAGCATCCTCATCGTCATCCTTATCGTTATCCTCTAAATCATGCTCATCTTCATCCTCATCATCATCCTCATCATCATCCTCATCATTATCGTCATGTTCATCCTCATCATCATCCTCATCATCATCCGCATCTTCATCCTCGTCGTCATCCTCCTCATCAAATTCATCATCAACCTCGTCATCATCGTCGTCTTCATTCTCATCATCATCCTCGTCATCATCCTTATCCTCATAAACATCAGCATCCTCATCATGATCTTCATCATCATCCTCATCACCATCCGCATCAAAAACCGCATCAACATCTTCAAATTCATCCTCATCCTCATCATCATCATCATTATCCTCATCATCATCCTCATCATTGTCCTCATCATCGTACTTCTCATCATGCTCAATATCATCCTCATCATCATCCTAATCATCATCCTGATCATCATCCTCATCATAGTCCTCACTATAATCCTCGTGATCATTATCATCATCATCCCCATCATCATCCTCAACATCATCCTCATCGTCACTCTCATCATCAAACTCATCATCGTCCGCATCATCATCCTAATCAACCTCCTAATCATCAGCCTCATCATCATCCACATCCTAGTCACCATCATCATCCTCATCATCATCCTAATCATGTTCCTTATCCTCATCCTTATCATGATCCTCATCATGATCCTCATCATCATCCTCATCCTCATCCTCCTCATCATCCTCAGCATCATAGTCATTAACGTCATCATCATCATCCTCGTCATTAGCCACCTCTTTATTTTCATCGTCATCCTCATCATCAACATCATCATCATCCTCATCATTATTATCATCATCATCCACTTCATCATCGTCATCATCATCGTCATCAGCACCCTCATCATCTTCAACATCGCATCCTCATTATCAACCTCATCATAATCCTCATCAACAACCTCATCAGCATCTTCATCATCATCAACATCCTTATTTTTATCGACATCCCCATCATCATCCTCGTCATCGTCCTCATCATCATTCTCAACATCATCCTCCTCATCATCCTCATCATCATCCTCAACATCTTCCTCATCATCATGGACATCATCATCCTCTTCATCATCGTCATCATCATACTTGTCATTATCCCCATCATGGTCATCATCATCAGCATCATGATCATTCTCATTCTCATCCTCATCATCATCCTCATCATCATCCTCATCATAATCCTCATCCTCATCATCATCCTCATCATCATCCTCATCCCCATCATCGTCCGCATCATCATTCTCATCATCATCCTCATCATCATCCTCATCAACAACCTCATGATCATCCTCATCATCATCCTCCTCATCATCCTGATCATGATCCTCATCATCATCCTCATCATCATCCTCATCATCATCACCATCATGCTCATCATCATTCTCGTTCTCGTCATCATCGTCATCATCATCCTCATCATCATCCTCATCCTCATCATCTTCCGCATCATCATTCTCATCATCATCCTCATCATCATCCTCATCAACAACCTCATGATCATCCTCATCATCATCCTCCTCATCATCCTGATCATGATCCTCATCATCATCCTCATCATCATCCTCATCATCATCCTCATCATCATCATCATCATGCTCATCATCATCCACGTCATCATCCGCATCGTCATCCTCATCATAATCCTCATCAACATCCTCATCATTATCATCATCCTCATACTTCACATGATCCTCAGCATCATCCTCATAATCATCCTCATCATCATACTCATCATCATCCTCATCATCATCATCCTCATCTTACTCATCATCATCCTCAACATCTACCTCATCATCATGGGCATCATCATCCTCATCATCATCCGCATCATCATACTTGTCATTATCCTCATCACGATCATCATCATCAGCATCATGATCATTCTCGTCCTCATCCTCATCATCATCCTCATCATCAGCCTCATCATAGTCCTCATCCACATCATCATCCGCATCATAATTCTCATCATCATCCTCATCATCATCGTCATCAACAACCTCATGATCATCCTCATCATCATCCTCCTCATCATCCTGATCATGATCCTCATCATCATCCTCATCATCATGCTCATCATCATCCTCATCATCATCATCATCATGCTCATCATCATTCTCGTTCTCATCATCATCGTCTTCATCATCCTCAACTTCATCCTCATCATCATCCTCATAATCCTTCTCATCCTCATCCATAACATCATACTCATCATCATCCACGTCATCATCCTCATCGTCATCCTCATCAACATCCTCATCATCATCCTCATCATCTTCCTCATCCTCATTTTTAACATGATCCTCATCATCATCCTCATCATCATCCTCATCATCATCCGCATCATCATCCTCATCATCATCCTCATCGTCATCCTCATCATCATCCTCATCATCATCCTCATCATCATCCTCATTATCATCGGAATCATCATCCTCATCATCACCCACATTATCATCCTCATCATCATCCTCCTCCTCATCATCATCCTAATTATCATCGCCATCAACCTCCTTATCATAATCCTCATCATCATTCTCGTCATCATACTCATAATCACTATCCTCGTCATCATCCTCATCGTCATCGTCATTTTTATCCTCATCATCCTCATCATCATCCTCATCATCATCCTCATCATCATCTTCATCATCACCCTCATCATCGTCCTCATCGTCATCCGCATCATCATCCTCGTCATCATCCTCATCATCATCATCATCCTCATCATCATCCTCGTCATCATCCACGTCATCATTCTGATCATCATGCTCAATATCATTCTCATCATCATCCTTATCATCATATTCATTATCATACTCATCATAACCCTCAACATCATGATCATCATCATTCTCGTCATCATCATCGTCCTCATCATCGTCCTCATCATCGTCCTCATCATCATCCTCATCATCATCCTCATCATCATCCTCATCATCATCTTCATCATCATCATCCTCAGCAAGATACTCATCATCATCCTCATCATCATCTTCATCAATATCCTTATTGTTTTCCTCATCGTCATCCTCATCCTCCTATCATCACTACCCTCATCATCAAGCTCATCATCATCCTAATCCTCAGCCTCATCATCCTCATCATCGTCCTATTCCTCGTCATCACGATCATCAGTCTCATCCTCATCCTAACACTCATCCTCATCATCATCAACAATATCGTGCTAGTCATCATCGTCGGCCTCAACATCGTCCTCATCATCATCCTCATCATCATCATCATTATCATCCTCATCATAACCCTCATCATCAACCTCATCAGCATCTTCATCATCATCCACATCCTCATCTTTATCATCATCCCCATCATCATCCTCGTCATCATCCTCACCATCATTCTCAACATCATACTCCTCATCATACTCATCACCATCCTCAACATCTTCCTCGTCATTATGGGCATCATCATCCTCATCATCATCCTCATCATCATCCTCATCATCATCCTCATCATCATCCTCATCATTATCCTCATCATCATCATCATCATGCTCATCATCATTCTCGTTCTCATCATCATCATCATCGTCATCCTCAACTTCATCCTCATCATCATCCTCATATTCCTTCTCATCCTCATTCAGAACATCATACTCATCATCATCCACGTCATCATCCGCATCGTCATCCTCATCATCACCCTCATCGTCATCGTCATGATCATCCTCATCATCATCCACATCATCATCCTCATCATCATTCTCATCATCATCCTCATCGTCTTCCTCAT